CGTTAGACAAGGTATACTCTGAGGTCTCTTCTGGGTCCAGTGGGCCATTATCTACTTCCTGCACATTGAACGATCCCTCCACACTCACTCACCCATAGGGCATTTGCCAACTCCCCCTGTCCAAGGTCCTTCTGCTTTCTCACTGGGCTGTCTCCTGCTACAACCTACGCCAACTCTCCTTGGTTTCTGTCCTCGGAGGACAGAGCCCTCCTCCCCTGCCTATTATAGTAATTCCTCAAAGAGTTGAAGGCTGTTAGCAAAATCCCTTCCCCACACATACACACATATTCTATTTTTAAATAACATTTATTTCTGATTCTAAAACTAAGGACGTACCTGATCATTGCGGAAAAATTAGAAAGAGACAAGTACAAAGGAGAAAATAAAAATCACCCATAACCCTCCCTAACAGGTTACTGCTATTAATGGGTTTTTAAATGCATATATATGTGGGTTTTTTTTTTTTTTTTTCTGTTAAAAACCTGGGATTTGACTGCAGATATGGCTTTGGATTTCCACAAGCCTGGGCTTGAAAGTGGGTGAGTTCTTCCCTTTCGAGGCTCCCTAGGGCCTGTTGTTCTCTTTTAAGCAGCTGCCCCAGTTGCCTTTCCCAAGAGGAGGACGATCGGTTTCGTGGATGTGTGTCCACCTTGATTCATGGGCCCCAGCGAGGCCCAGAGTTTAAATTTTGACTACCTCTGAGTGTGCCTGTATGTGAGTGACAGAGACAGAGACAGAGGCAGAGAGAAAGGGCATTGGTCACTGAGAAGGAGAACATTCCCAGGGCCCAGAAAGGCCTGGTCACAGCCCCCAGTCTACCCCACCGCACTACCCCACCCCCATGGCCACAGTCCTCCTAGTCCTACTCCGGGCTTTGTCTGAATCAGTGACAGCTACCGCAGGAATCACCTTAGTCCCTTTCCATGGAGCAGCTGGAGCTCCTTGCTAAGCTAATCAATTCCCATCATTTGAGAAAGGAAAACAAATTTACAATTTGCTGCCCATCCTACCGGCTGTGGAGGGGCCTGCGGAGGGAGATGCTGGCTGAGGCATTGGTGTTCCACCCCTACCAGCCCGGCCTCAGTTTGGTGCAAGGGACTCTCAGATGGCTCCTGCCCTACTCGGGCTGCAAACTGGGAGGTGGGATGGCCTAGCTGTCTGGGGTTTCTTGGAGACCCCAGGGGTGGCACAGCTGGAAGGACCTGGGCTTTTACCATCCCGCTTTGAGATCGGGGAGACAGGGCCCCAAGAGGGGTGGGACATACCCAGGGCCACCCAGAAAGCTGGTGGCTGGGCCAGGCCTGGTGACACATGAGTTGACCACCAGTCTTGTGTGATTCCCTTGTGGCACTTTTCATTTTGGGGAGGACTAAGAAGGCAGGTACAGGGTGGGGAGGGTGCGTGGTAGACCAAGAATTCATCAAATCCACTTCCGGCCTTGTCCATTTCACACTCTTCCAGATCCTTCCCAAACCGGAGGAAGCTATATCCCCTGCCTATGCTTATGTGGCTTGGGGTCTGACTGCCCTTTCTGTCCAGGGGAAAGTTCTTTTTTAAAAAAAAATTTCCATAGGTTATTAGGGTACAGGTGGTACTTGGTTACATAAGTTCTTTAGTGGTGATTTGTGAGATTTTGGTGCACCCATCACCGGAGCAGTATACGCTGTACCCTATTTATAGTCTTCTATCCCTTGCCCCCCCAACCCTTCCCAAGTCCCCAAAATCCATTGTATCATTCTTATGCATTTGCTTCCTCATAGCTTAGCTCCCACGTATCATTGAGAACATATGATGCTTGGTTTTCTATTTCTGAGTTATTTCACTTAGAATAATAGTCTCCAATCTCATCCAGGTCGCTTTGAATGCTGTTAATTCATTTGTCCAGGGGAAAGTTCTATTGAATACCTAACCCAAGTTCATCAGACACTCCTTTTCCTTCTTTCTCTCCACATCTGACTGCCCCCCTCCCCAAGGGTGTTTTAGGCCACGAGAAGCCAGCAGGGAATACGACAGCCAAGTAAGTCCCTGTTCCCTTAAAGCTCACATCTACCCACCTGTGGGGCTCTCACTGGGAGGTGGAGTGGCTGGGCCCAATTTTCTGGTCACTTAAATCCAGCAAATGCTGTCTGTAGGGCATGGAGCCACACATACAGAACAAGGCTTCACTGCAATCGTTCCAGTTGCTATTGCTATGTAACAAAACATCCCAGAGTGCAGAGATGTATAACAACTATCGTGCATTCTGCAGGTCAGGACGGGAGAGAATGGCTGAGCTCTACTCTGTGGTATCTGGGCCTCGGCTGGAAAGACTTGAAGGTTAGAGGTTACTCAATGACCGGGGGCTGGAATTGTCTGCAGCAACATCGCTCACATGCTCACATCACATGGTGGTTGATGCTGGCTGTCAACTTGGTTGTCAGCAGGAAGTCCTACGAGTGATCTCTCTGCAGGGGCTCGTTTGGACATTCTGTTAGCACCGTGGCTGATCCCAAGGATGAGTGTCTGAAGAGAGCTAGGAGGAAGCTGCATCTTCCTTTATTTCCTAATGCCTGCGTTCCTTCCCCTTGAATCTGGGTGGGTTGGTGACTTTAGCAGCCTTGCCTGCTTGATGGGTGGAGTGTCAAAGTCACATCATGAGATAAGCATGTGAGATGGCAGATATTGTTGCAGCCATCTTTGGAAACACAGCCCGCTACATGTATCTGTTAGGGGTTCCAGCCTTTGGAGGGAAGTAGCGTATGAAAGAATGGTAGCTGTCATTTCCCAAGCACTTATACCTACCAGGCACCGTATTCAGTCTGTTGTGTATGCCATCTTTCTGACAATTTCTGTGGTGAGTACTGTTATACCCGTTCTGCAGATGGGGAGACTGAAGCTCAGCGAGGTTACACTGCCTGCCCTAAATCTTACAATTGGGATTTGCACCCAAGTCTGTCTGCCTCCAAAGCCGTAGCTCTTAACATGCTGCTACACTGCCTCTCCCTCCCTTCCCCGCAGTAATTTTTACCAGGCAAATCTAGTAAGGATGGCGAGAAGCTTAGACAGGAAGCTGGGGGAGGTTCAGATCTGGGAAGGCTTCTTGGAAGAGGTAACGCTTGAGCAAGGCCTTGCATGATGAATTCAATGTGGACCCCTAGGGGAAGGGGGTGGCATTCCTGGTGGAATAGCAATGGGATCAAGGGACCTTCAGATCACCCAGGGAGTGTTGCTGTGACCCAGAACCCTGGCCTTTGACCCCCTGCAACACCAACACACGTACTGTAGTCCCCCCAAGGCAGGCTGAGGCACGGGCAGGATGGATGGATTTAGTTCCCAGAAAACTGCAAACACGGCCCCTCCCGTCTCCACCTTATTCCCATCAGCTTTCTTCTTCTGAGGCCAAGAATCAGGCAGAGGCTCCCACACTCCTCACCTCCACATGCAGACTTGGTTTTTCCCTTTGGAGATGGGGTGAGTCTGAGCTGCCTCCAGTGCGAATACAAATTGGGTCTCAGAGCAGTTACCATCCCCTTGGCAAGCTGGCAGGCTCGTGTTAGGGCGTTGCAAATGGGAAGTTTAATTATCTCATTGATAGGAATCTTGCATATTGCAGGAGTAATTCCCGCCCCTTCCAGGCCTCTGTCTTGCGAGTCTTCTGCTGCCTGTCCCTCACATCCTCAGTCACTCTTCCTGTTTCTTCTTTTGTTTCCCTATTTGCATCTCAGTCTCTCCCCCATCTCTGACCATTCCACTCTCCCCTCTGTCTCTCTCCTCTTTTCCTCTGTCTCTGTCTCTGTTACCCTCCTTCTGTCACCTCCTCTTGCTTACTTTCTCTGGACTGACGGCAGCCTCTCTTCCTGGACAGATCATCTAATTGAAATGGAGCACTCCAGAGAATGTTAATAGGAAAGGCAGCATTAATTAGCTAGTGCTAGCATAATTAGCTTCCTCCTCTCACTGCCTAGCATCTAACTGGATAATGAGTCTCTCTCTGTCCAGAGGGCAGGCAGGACAAGGGGGACAGGCCATGTCGGGGATGCCAGAAAGCCTCCTCTCTTTGGGCCACCCCGCTGGAGTCCTCGGGTTGCCCAGCCCTGCCCTCTTCTGCCAGGCCCTCCTGCTGCTGCGCTCAAGTCTCTGGGAGGCAGATGCCCGGCCCCTGCCCATGCCCAAAGGTTTGATGTTGCTGGAGTTGCATATTAAGTGGCCTGAGCCTGACAAACAGTGGCTGCAGCTGCAGCACCCCATAGAGGGGGTGGGAAGCTACTGAGGGTTCTCCAAGAGTGCTGTGACAGGCACCTAGCCCTGGCACAGTTCCTGGATAATGGTTGAGCATGTTACAGTCCCCAGCGGGGAGCAAGGAAATCTGCTTATGTGACAGATAACTAACGTACTACACAGACTGCAGAGTACTTCCACCTTTGACTCCACAGTCGTACGAGGCAGCAATGGCCACTTCTATTTTATAGATGAGGACTCAAGTTCAGGGAGGCTCCCTGCCTTGGATACTCAGACTGCCAGGACCCAAATCAGGGTCTGCCTCATTCCAAAGATCATGCTCTTTCCCTTGCACCCTGACACCTCCTAGAGGTACTTTACAGCTGCTCATTAAATAAGAGTGGTTGCAGTGGAGTCACATCTTACATTGGGCCTGAGTTCTAAAGTCAAAGGATGCAGCAAACATTAGAAAATTGTGTGGTCAATTTTTTTTTTTTTAATCCCTCCTCCCAGGAGAAACATCTTTTCTGTTTGCAATTGTTCTGCGATTTTCCTTTTTTCTGTGGCCTTGAAAGCCAAGACCCAAAAGGGAGAGGTGACGGGCAAATAACAGGAATTTGCTTTGTGTTTTTCACAGGTGGTTAAATTCAGTTGTGTTGATGCATGCTTGATGCCATTCCATTGCAGTATTAGTATTTGGTTATGAGTGGACGGGGTTGGTAGCTAGGGCTGGGCGAACTGCACCACAGGGCACCTTCCCCTCCCTGTCTCTCTAGCCTGCTGACCCTCTCCCTCTCCTGCAGGCTATGGACATGGAGGATGACCCCTTGCTGCAGGATGTGTGGCTAGAGGGGCAGGAGGAAGAAGAAGCAACGGGTGAAGCCTTTCCAGGGGCCCAGAAGCCAGGGCCCCAACTTGGGGCAGGAGGGCAGTGTTGCTGGCGGCACTGGCCCCTGCCTTCCCGGCCCCCAGCCTCAGGCTTCTGGAGTACCCTGGGCTGGGCCTTCACCAATCCCTGCTGTGCTGGGCTGGTACTCTTCCTGGGCTGCAGCATTCCCATGGCCCTGTCAGCCTTCATGTTCCTTTACTACCCACCGCTGGACATTGACATCTCCTACAACGCCTTTGAAATCCGCAACCATGAGGCTTCGCAGCGTTTTGACGCCCTCACCCTGGCGCTCAAGTCCCAGTTTGGATCCTGGGGGCGGAACCGGCGTGACTTAGCCGACTTCACCTCCGAGACGCTTCAGCGCCTTATCTCAGAGCAGCTGCAGCAGCTGCATCTCGGCAACCGCTCGCGGCAAACCTCCCGAGCCCCGCGTGTCATCCCTGCGGCCTCACTCCGCGGCCCAGGCCTGTCCCGGGACACTTCAACGGCCCAAAAGCCCACAGCCAATCGGAGCGGGCGACTTCGGCGTGAGATTCCGCCCCTGGAGGATCTGGCAGCCAACCAGAGTGAAGACCCGCGAAACCAGCGGCTGAGCAAGAATGGGTGGCACCCGCCCAGCATCCCGCCCCCCGCGGCAGCTGCGGCCAATCAGAGCCGTGCCCGCCGAGGCGCCTCCCGCTGGGACTACTCGCATGCGTATGTGAGTGCTAACACCCAGACGCACGCGCACTGGCGCATCGAGCTCATCTTCCTGGCGCGCGGCGACGCGGAGCGCAACATTTTTACCAGTGAGCGGCTGGTCACGATCCATGAGATCGAGCGCAAGATCATGGACCACCCAGGCTTCCGGGAGTTCTGCTGGAAGCCCCACGAGGTGCTCAAGGACCTGCCGCTGGGTTCCTACTCCTACTGCTCGCCTCCCAGCTCGCTCATGACGTACTTTTTTCCCACCGAGAGGGGAGGCAAGATCTACTACGACGGCATGGGCCAGGACCTGGCGGACATCCGGGGTGAGCCGCCAGGATGCTGGGGTGGGGCGTAGGTCCTGGTTTTATACAGCTCTTTATGGAGATTTGGCCCAGGCCCAGGCCCAGTCAGTCTGGAGCTGAGTCCTGGGCATAGCTGGAGGGCAAGGTGAAAAGGACTGGGCTGAGGTGTGAGGTGAGCGTGAGAGGGAACCGAAGAGGGAAGCTTGGATGCAGACCCAGGTGAAGGATGGTGGGGGTTCTGCTGTGGTCAGAGGTAGAGAAAGCGTGGAGTGGGGCTCGGGTGTGAGGCTGGTTAGAGAAAGGCCAGGATGTGGTTATAGAGAACCAGGAATCTGGCCAGAGGAAGACAGGAGAAAGATTGGGGTTCAAGAAGACTGAGGTAGGGTTCGTTTTAGGTAAATTAGGAATGGGGCTTGAGGAAGGGTGGGGCAGGTTCAGAGAGAGGTTGTGGGACCTGGGGTGGAGTTTTGGTGAATGTGGACAGAGGGGAATCCTGGGAGGCAGGGCTGCAATGAGACTGGATGACCTTGAGGGAGGGTTGGTGGGAGTTGACCGGCTGAACTCTTGAGGCCCCCACCGCTGTCCTCGCAGGCTCCCTGGAGCTGGCCATGACTCACCCTGAGTTCTACTGGTATGTGGATGAGGGCCTCTCTGCAGACAATCTGAAGAGCTCTCTCCTGCGCAGTGAGATCCTGTTTGGAGCACCCCTGCCCAACTACTACTCAGTGGATGACCGCTGGGAGGAACAACGGGCTAAGTTTCAGAGCTTCGTGGTCACCTACGTGGCCATGCTGGCCAAGCAGTCTACCAGGTAGGAAGTCCAGCTGCATCCTGTGTGTGCATACCCATGTGTGTCCCAGGAAAGGCCTGCATTAGGACAGGACATTGATTTCCAGTTGCCTCTTAATCTTAAACACCATACCTCTTTCCCTATTATCTTTTCCTTTGGACGTCTTTCTTTCCAAATCAAGGCAGAACCAAGTACATCCTTGCAGTCACTCTGACAAATAGAAGTCCCCTTTGCTTGATCAGTGCTATGGTTAGTGAACATGACAGCTTTGGGCCAGGTAGGAAATCTCAGACTCTGCCCTGGAGGTTTTGGGTATTGATTTTCTCCTGAGATGGTGCTCGAGGTCTTTCTGGAAAGAGTATTGGCCAGGGAATAAGGAGTTCCTCACTGTATTAGTCAGGGTTCTCAAGAGGGATGGAACCAGTAGGATAGATAGACAGAGGGATATGTGAGAGGGGATTTATTAGGGGAATTGCCTCATGCAATTATGGAGGCTAAGTCCCATGACACACCATCTGCAAGCTGGAGACCTTTGGATGCTGGTACTCTGGCTCAGTCCAAATTTGAAGGCCTCAGAACTAGGGAAACTAATGGTGTAATTCTTGGTTCAAGACCAAAGGCCTGAGGACCCCAGGGACTGCTGGCGTAAGTCCTGAAGTCCAAAGGCCAGAGAGCCCGGAGTTTTGATGTCCAGGGGCAGGAGAAGAGTGTCCCAGCTCCAGTGGGGAAAGAGAGAGAGAGAGAGGAAATCACCTTTCTGCCCTTTTTGTTCTGTCCTGGGCCCCAGCCAATTGGACAGTGCCCACCCTGGCCACTGACACACATGCCAGTCTCCTGTGTATGGGAAAACCCACACAGACACACCCAGAGGCAATGCTTTATGAGTTCTCTCCATATTCCTTAATCCAATCACAATGACACCTAAAATTAACCACACTTCCTGCCTCTAATACCCAGGGAGGTAATGGACAAGTCACTTCACTTCTCTGGGTGTCAGTGTTCCTATCGTTAAAATGGATAACATGATTCTGGCTGCCCTCTGGAGTCACTAAGAAGAGATGAGCTAACAGATGTGACAGTGTTTTGGGGTGGAAGGTGCTTTGGGATGGTGTGCCCCAGAGTACAACTGGGTCCCTCCCCACCAGAACAGAGCAGCAGTCCTTCTGGGCAATAACTGCAGTGCTTTCCCAGTCCCCACCCTGATAAACCAGTCCCAGGCACAGGAGGAATCCTTCTGCCCAAAATACCCTCATTCCTTCCACTGTTCATCCTTTATATTGAGCAACTGCTGGAATAATCAGAGCTAATGTTTATTGAGCACTTACTTTGTGCCACACACTGTTCAAAACCCTTTATACATACCAGCTCATTTAATTCTCACACCAACCCAATGAGGTGGGTGCTGTTATGATGATCTCCATTTTATAGTTAAGGAAACTGAGACATAGCAATTAGGTAAGTCATCCACAATTTTAAAGCTCATCAGTAGTGGAATGAGATTCAAATCCCGACCTCACCCTTTGTGTTTTTGTGCCAGTTACTGCACTGGGAGCCTTCTCCCTGACTTACTTCTTTGTCAGGCAAGCTCCTATTCATCTGTTAAGATCCAACTTGGGCAACATTGACCAAAGGCTGGACTAAATGCTGATTACCTGCTATGGTTTGGATATGCTTTGTCCCCCCTAAAACAGTGCAGCTGTGTTGAGAGGTGGGGCCTAGTGGAAGATGTTTGGGTCATGGGGGTGGATCCCTCATAAATAGATGAATGCCATCTTGTGGGAGTGAGCTAGTTCTCACTCGAGGGAATGGATTAGTTCCCAAGACAGCGGGTTGTTATAAAGTGAGGTTCCTCCTCTTGTTTGGTCCCTTTTGCCTGTTCCCCCTTTGACCTTCCTCCGTGTTACGATGCAGCACAAAAGCCTTCACCAGAAGCCAATGCCATGCCATTGAACTTCCCAGCCTGCAGAACAATGAACTAAATAAACCTCTTTTCTTTGTAAATTACCCAGTCTCAGGTATTCTCTTATAGCAACATAAATCAGACTGAGATGCTACCTGTTTCCATAGTCCCCTCTCTTCTCCCTAAGGGAGGCAGGAAAGAGCATACACAAACTTTGGAGTCAGATAATATCTTGGGTCCTGTCCCAGTTATTCAAATTATTGTGAGTTCTAGCAAGCTATTTCACCCCTCTGAGCTACAATTTTATCACAATGTTTCTCACTCTGTCTTTCAATTGTAACTCACAGTGCATTCCTCCAATCAACATCATCAGCATCACCTGGGGCTTGTTAGAAATGCAGAATCTCAAGTTCTCTCCCAGGCCTGCAGTATTTTCAGGTGATTTGTTTGCATATTTAAGTTTGAGAGAGGTCTGGTTTAATTATCTGTCTCAATAGAATGTGAGTTTATTGAAGACTGGGATTGTTTCTGGTTCAGTTTCTATGGGCCGAGCCCCAGCACAAGGCCAGGTACCCCTTAGTAAGGATTTGTTAGGGGAGTGAATGAATAAATGAATGGAGATGCCTCAAGGAAAGGTACTTGGCTGTGTTGGAAAACTGAGAGGTGCTGACTGTAGATGGACTTTCATGGTTTTAGATACCAGTATTAACTCTGCCCAGATGTTTAGCTGCTGAGGCGAATCCCCTGCCCTTAGGGAAGAAGCCACTCTTTTCTGTTTTCTCCCATTAGAGCATCACAGCAGTGGTGACAATCCTGTAGACTTGACTTTAGTGCTTTTGGGTGAACAAAATTCTTAAAATTACTCTATTATTGGTTACCCAAGAGATGGTAACATGTACCTTGACTTATAACAGAATAATATAAATGATCACTTTTATTGCTTTTAATACTAGAATCTTAGAATGTGTTCACTGCATTTATTGAGCTTCAATTTTTTGCATTTATGTTGCACGCATTTTAATTCTTAATACTTAAGCCTCATAAGACTGTTCTTTTATATTTATTCACATATTTACCTTTTCTGTTGGTGTTCATTACTTTGTATAATTTCATGTTTCCCTCTGGGATCATTTTCCTTGTGTCTAAAGAACTCTAGCATTTCTTTCAGTACAGGTTTGCTGGTGATAGATTCTCTGTTTTGTTTGCCTAGTAGACATCTTTATTTTACTTTCATTTTTGAAGCATATTTTTGCTGGTATAGAATTACAAATTGGCAGTTATTTTCTTTTAATACTTTACCTGAAGATGTCACTCCATTGTCTTCTGACTTCCATCATTTCTGTAGAAAAGTAGGCTGTAAATCTTTTTTGTTGCTCCATTAAAAATTCTCTTTTTTCTGCTTTTGAGATTTCTTTGTCTTTGTTTTCACCAGTCTTACTGTGACGTATCTTGGTGTGTTTTCTTTGTGTTTGTTCTGTTTGGGAGCACAGAGCTTCGTGAAGCTGTAGGTTGATGACCATAATCAGTTTTAAGAATGTTCTAGCTATTATCTCTTCAGATTTGCTTCTATCTTGTTTTCTGTTTCCTCTTTTTTGCACTCTGATTACACAAATGTTCGATCTTTTCACTGAGCCCCATATGTTTTCAATGCTTTTTTTCTGGGTTTTATTTTTTTATTTTTCTTTCTCTGCTTTGGTTTAGATATTCTAGTTCACTGATCCTGCTTTCTATTTGTTGTCTCTAGTCTGCCATTTAATGTGTATTGAGTTTTTAATGTTATTGTTCTGTTTTTCCTTTTTGGGAATTTCCATTTGAATCTGTTATAGATCTAAATCACTGGTGCAATTATTTTATTCATCATTTAGTTTATTTTGTCCACATTTTCCTCTCTGTTCTTAAACATATTAATTATAGTGTTTTAAAGTTCTTACCAACTTTTAATATACGGTTAACCTGCAGATTTGTTTCTGTAGTCTGTTCTTTCACTTGGTTTAGGATCATGTGTTCCTGCCTGTGGGTATACCTGGTGATTTTTATTTTTTTATTTTTATCTTTTTGAGACAAGGTGTCACTCTGTCATTAAGTCTGAAGTGGCATGATCATAGCTCACTGCAGCCTGAAACTCCTGGGCTCAGGTAATCCTCCCATCAGCCTCCTGAGTAACTAGGTCTATAGGCACGTGCCACCATGCCCAGCTAGTTTTTTGTTTTTGTTTTTGTTTTGAGACAGCGTTTGACTATGTTGCCCAGACTGATCTCAAACTCCTGGCCTCAAGTGGTCCTCCCACCTTGGCCTCTCAAAGTGTAACTTTTATTAAGTGATGAATATTATGTGAAAAACACACACACACAGAGGTCCATATGATGTTATTTCCCCCAGAGAGAATTTTTCCTTCACTTCAGAAGTCACATAGAGTCGTGGCTGATCACCTTAAGCAGGCAGTGACCACACTGAGAGTTGAGGATGGTTCGCAATCCTGGAAAGTCTCGGTCTACCTCTAGTTTGCCCTAGATTCTCTAGGATTTTCAACTGAGAGCTTGCTGTATTCTGCAGAGTCCTTTGCCTGGATAGGTTCCAAACTCTAATCTTTTATCTCTCAAAGCTGCTAAAAAAATTAGAACAAAGACAAAAATTCCACTCTGCTTTTTCCGAGGCTTTCTGCTTAGGTTTTTTGGCTTCAGGCCCCACACAGCCCCAGTCTCCCACAGAAGTGCTGAGGGAAAACCTGGCCATGTGTTCTGCTGATCTGCAAGTGTCTGCCCAAAGCTCTGCTAGCTTATCTGACTCCCAGCCAAGTTTTTCAGCCTTCTGCCCATGTTTAGAATCAGCAAATGCCTCCAGGGTAAAAATGGCTGTAGAAGGGCAGCTTACCTTTGCTAGGTTCTTTCCTTTCTGGAGTCTTAGCCCTTTAGTTCTGATTACTTCAGCAACTCTCTACTGTCATCACAGATAGTTTCTGAATTTTAGTGGACATTTTAGTAGTTTTAGGTGAGGATACTGGTCTTCCATGAGCTATTTCTTTCAACTTGAGAGTAAAAGTATGGGCCTATGTCTTTTTATAATCAGCATCTAGCACAGGACCAAGAATCTAGAAGATACTCTATAAATGCTTTTCAAATTA